CCAATCATATTCCAAAACGATAAATTGGCTACCACGAACAATGTAAGAGGTGTACTGGTTTCTACCGATTTTTGTAAAAAAAAAAAAAAAAAAAAAAAAAAAAAAAAAAAAAAAAAGGTCTTTTTCGACCTCTAAATAGCCTTAAGAGTAAAAATGAAATTTTCGAAACTTTAAAATTGCGCATCTACAGAACACCAGCAATTATACTCCAAAAGATAAACTGGCCACTGCGAAAAATGAAAATGAAAGGAGAGTTCTTGAAAGCAGGTTCTTGTAGAAAAAGATTTTTTTTTTCGACCCTCACTAATTCTCCAGGGTAAAATTGAAAATTTTACATCTACAGCACACTGCCAATCTCACTGAGACAGGTGGACTGACGGACCAGGATAAGAATTTTATAAACCCAGACGTTCTTCAAAAACTACGGGAAAAGTTTCCTCCTCCCCGTTGTCCTACTTTTTATGACTGTCGTTTGAACTTTCCAAATATCAAATTCAGATTTTTTTTCACTTCTTTTTTCACGTCTGCCTTTCTTATGTAAGGGCTCCAAGTAATATAGGCAAAGATTCCTCATAAATCCTATGAATAAATCATAATTTTTTTCTTGTTCAATACTAGTATATATGTATATGCATAATAAAGCGTGTATTTTTTAAGTCTTGTGGAATGTTTTGCAAATCAATGAAAGTAAATAAGATCTTATCATTATTGTTTTTATCCAACGGATTCGATATACTTTAAGGTACAAGTATGAGTTGTATTACCATGACCATATAAAATTTTAATTATTCTATAACTCGTAGGATTTATATCTTTTAGTAACTTATAAAGCCCCTAGCTTACTGGCCTTCTATCGATTATGAATCAGATCTACACGTATATTACAGATCTATAAGATCCTAATTCAAAGTAATAAAACTATGAAATTTAATGCATTATATTGTATTGGTCTATATCTTGATGTTGCAAACATCTTCCCTAGTACAAATGTAAGGATAATGTTTTAACTCATCAGGGAAATATATATCAAGAAGCATATAATATACTATAGTCTTTTACAAAATACTTTTTTAAATAGAAGATTCCCATATTGATGAAATAAATGTTTTTCATTTGATTATCACGCAAAGGCTGCATTTAGCAATTGATAAAATCAGGGAAAAAATGATTAAATTAATTTTAATTGAGAATGATTGCATTTAAAAAAGAAAGAGACAAACAATGCTTTCTAAGGTCTGCAGAAGAGATTATAAGATCGTGGCCAGAGACAAATATTTATCTATCACAGTGAATTGTATGACATTAGTACCAGCTGTTGCCTATGAGTCACGAGGGTTTCCGATAAAAGCCTCCAGCTCTCCCGGATTTCTAGATCTACACCTTCACAGATATATATCAACCGTGTATTAAAAACTCTTTAAACTTTATTTAAAAGGAATAAAACTGGTGCAATGAATCGTGAACATAAAACATCCGGAAACCTTTTTACAAGCTGTATATGTGACTGATCGAATGTGAGAATTGTGTGGCCTATGGTTTTACTCTAAGTGCGAATACTGAACAGAAAAGGGGACAATTTATTAACCTCCATAAAGATATAAAATTACTGCGTGTTAACATTGGAATCCTACAAATCAACCACAGAAGATAACATACATTGCGCAAGATGAAAAAATCTTATGTCACGGTTAAGGTATGTATTGAAAAGTAAAACATAAGGGGTCATAGGGAAGTGTACTTTAAAACCGGGTTTTAGAGGAAATTTAAACCAAGCAAGTTTGTTTATGTTTTGCTCCGTTGGGTACATCTTCTTTAATCTCTGTTACATGTAGAAGAACAAGAATACACTTTAAATCAGGAGCTTTGATTTGTATGTAAGTATCCAGATTAAGGTAGGTGTAAATCCTGCTGATGGGTAGAATTTTGTCCTTCAGATGTCTTTTATTCGTACCAGTATAGAGGGCACCTTCCCTTGTGTTCTGCAGTATCTTCCACTATCCTCTAGTACAGGGGATATACATGTATGAGCAAAATTGATTATTTTGCACAGTTTAATGTTCGCTCGGAGATTAAGTTTAGACTTGGTAATTTTGTTTGTAAATCTTTATTAATCAAAATCAGAAGATGTTATACATACCAGTCACATTAAACCGCTAATTGAATAAAGTGAATACCAGGCTGACATATTAGACATTTAATAACAAGTGAAAAGCCCACATATTGGAAAGGATGCAGTCAATCACCGATCTTTTCTCAAAAACTTTTTTTTTAATTTCTAAGTTTGAACATCCATGCAGTAAAAAATAATAACTGTAACAATATGGAATGCAGAAGCGAGGCTCTATCTGAACACGTACACCGTCATTGCAAAAATCCTTAGAATAGTTTTATCTCTCCTTGATTCAAAGCATTTCTGGCTTTTTAAAATTGTTTGTTTGTTTGGGGTTTTTTTTTTTGTATGAGCATACTTATGATAATAGATCCTTTTAAATTGTGTTAGGGCCTATGGATTTTTTTTTTTTGTGTTTCTTTTAATTATACACAGGAATATAAACCGATAGGAAATATCTTTAAAAGTCTTCTTAAGAATATCAAAGCCAAGATAAGTCATTTTACTACAGAAGCTGCTCAGGTAGTGTAGATTCAGTTTTGTTCAAATCATGACCCCAGAGGTAGGGCAGGGCCACAATAGAAGATCAAACTTTAACATAGAAATATATAGGAAAAATTAAAAATCTAAAGCCATACATAGCCAAAGAAATATGGAAGCATTCTCAGACCTCATTTAGTGTAGATTAAGGTTATTCAAATAAAGACCTCCTGGTGAGGGGAGGGGGTAGTAGGATGGAACCACTTACATATTGGAACATTTTAATAATGAACAGAAATCTGCCTTATTCTAGCCAAAGTGCTCAGGTGAACGATGTGGCTCATAGGTCTCTTATTTTTTATAATTATTATATTTCGGACAGAAATATTTGAAATTGTTAATACAGATAATTGATGCATTTAATGTTAGAACATGTTAGAATTAGACAGAAGAGTCCCTTCATTCGAATTACGGGACTGGATCCTGAGTCCCTTAATGGAGAGCATTTTGATCAAGAGGCTTTTTATCACATGAAAAGTTGGAATTTTAATTAATAAGAACAATACGACAGATTTTGAAAAGCTTAAAAGTGTCAAGCAGCTTTTTACTTCTAATTTCAAAAAAAAGAAGAGTAATTTAATGATGAGTTTTTTAACTTTCCTTTGAAAACTTCTCCCAAAGATTTACATGCTAGTCAGTTAATATTTATTTCTTAAAGTATTTTATTTGTTCTCAATTCATATCTAATGTCAGTTTAGAATGACCAGAACTAAATGCATATAATTTATTGACTCTCAGTAAAACCTGTTGCTGTTTGAAATTCACTTAACACTGCAACAGCGGCGGTTAACAGTCATTTATAAAAAGTCCAGATGTTAGAACATGTTTGACCATCTAGAATTATGGCAACATCTGCCGAGTGCAGGCTAAAGGGCACACAGCAAGTTATATGTCATAAAAAGTTCAAATCTATGACTATTTCGATAATTATGTATTTCACTGAAAATAGCAGCATGTTTCTACAATAGTTTTATATATCGTGTCAATGACTTATGTTTATCAGTTGATTATGCACCCTAAGTGTTGATTATTAATAAAACAAAGCTTGAAGAATTGATAGGAATTAATGATCTAATGATACAAAGGTGCATGGCCTAGGACCAAGTATGCCACTAACCTTTTATAAAGCTGGGAATATTTAAACATCAGGGAAGAATTTATTTTTCTCACCAGAAGTGTGTAGGAGTGTTCGCAATATTTTTAAAGATAAAGCATGCAGGACTCTTTGGAAAGGTAGGCTGTATACATATACATGTGTTGTGTGTACTTTCTGAGTAAGTAATGATCACAAATGATCACAAATGAGAAATTATTAAGACTTTAAAAATCGAATAGTGAAACATGTACATGAATTTTATTTATGCATTAAATTATCAAAGACTCCAGATGTGTTAAATTGTTGCGCCAAATGTTAGGGATGTCTGACATTGAATTGTAGAATCGGAACCATTGTGGATAAAAGCATCTAGTGGAAAAGTCACTTCCATCCATTACAATGTGTCAGACTTCTCATTGACGTCTGTGTAAAACTTTAACTAAATGTGTAAATGCCTCAATTAATACTTATAGGTCACCCATTTATGATGTGTAAATTGAAGTAGGTCATCAATGGCGTTTGATTAATCATACGTGTCTAATGGCACCACCTATTCTGATACGAACAAAATTATTCTCTGGTGAAAGTTTCACAAAATTGCTTATCATCTGAATAAATGACGATATTTACATAGAAAAAAAAGAGAGATAAAGTGAAGGTGTTCAGGGATTGATAAGCGTTAAAGTATCTTTTATTTGCTGTACGGAGGGTGCGCTCCAGGTAGTCAGTGTACTTGTCTGAGGACAGGTAAATGTATTCAATTTATTTTAAAAAGTAGGAATTTTGCCGATACAAACTTCTTGAATCAGTAAGACGTAGAATAAATAGTAAGCAAATTGGAAGCTATAGAAATTGTCTTTTGGTCACTGTGTAAAATATTGATACAGCAAGATATATTTGAGACACATGTTTGATGTGAAATGTATTTGTACATCAAAGATATGTACATTGTAAAGATATACACAAATCATGCGGTAGTAAGTGTACTCCACTGACCAGTAGAAATTCTTTTTCAGTTTATTCGTGAATTTATTATATACATATGTTTTAAAGTGTACTTCTAGGAAACATAATTAAAGCATATCTGTATTGAGTTTTAGTTATTCAGATGCATATCAACTTATCGAGTACGGCATGCTATTTTAACTAGTGGGTTTGAGAACAGAAAACTCTCTTACAATCAAGATCTTTAATGCATTGGGTGTACATATGCATTTTAACTGATTGAGTGAAAAAAAATCTAATTGCAGGTGATGTTTTGAAATACCTGAGAGTAACTTATATAGCTTTGGACATGTATCCCTGCGTAATTCATAAGTATCCAGATTCGACTCCTTAAGAGAACAACATGACAGAGGAGTTAATTGCCCTTGATGTGTGGGACAAGTTACTGATCTTGGTTGGCGTGGCGCTGTTTATGGTTTTGGTCATAGTGATGTTGATGTGTGTTCTCTCTCCCTACTGTTGTCTCTATCCATACTGTCCGTTCCGGGTAAAGAATCCACTAGGTACGAATAATACTCAGAAAATGGATTACGATTACAGGCATTCATGCTGTTGTTTAGTCAAAATGTATCTCGTAATGAATAAAATATTTCATTGTGAGATTTTTGAGAGACTGGTGTGAGATCTGGGAGAGTTCTAAAATATATGAACTCAGGAATTTTAACTTAACATTTCTAGCTGGTTCGATTGCAAAATGATGAATGTCTATTAACTCGGTACAGAAAGCTTAATGAAGCTAGAACTTTTTAAGTATTATTTTGTTTGATAAAATGTCATTGAAAAAAGTATAACTTATGTGGAAGCCAATGTTTACCAAGGCTTTTTTAATTTATAAGCACTCTATAATGATTTTATTTCTAAAGATGGAAAGCCTTTGATAAATTATGGATCTACCGACATAATGAGGGAATCCAAGCACGATAGGCGATCTTATCTGGGGTCTATAAAAGAAGAAGAGTCTTCCGAATGGTCCGACGCAAGCGCAAAGAGTGCCCTTGAGCTTAGAAGGGTATTATATCGTTATGTTTTCCAACTTTTTACAGTCATAGCAATATACTATAAAACAAGTTTATTATTATTATTTTTTTTTTACAAAGAAATAACCAATATAGACTTAATTATTACTAAGTTTTGATGTAGCAAGTTTAGAAATTTCCATCGACTTTGATCTAATTATTTGTGATTTCAATTTTAAAATAATAAATCCATGATCTAATATTAAATAATAATTGGGTACTATATTTACCAAATTTTATTTTCAAATTTTAATAAAAGAAAATTCGTTCATGCAATACTAATTTTACAGACTATGTCACCCGGTTACGTTCCAAATGGATCAATTGGCTCCCTGCATTTAGTCTCACAGATTCATGATGGAACGCTGCACTTCTCTCTCAAATACGACAAATTTGACAATGACTTACTCATTAAAATTTTGGAGGTTACAGATCTCAATGTTGAAGATAAAACCGCCATTTTGTCTCCATATATACGGGTTAGGCTATACAGATCTCATAGACAACTTTTTACCGGTGCAGTTGAAAATGTTGATACCGAGTTCAAGACCCGGATACAGAAATTCAAAGACAATTTAACTTTTAATGAGACGTTTAAGACATCCATTGCAGTCACCAGCGTAAAACATATCAGCATTAAGTTTCAACTGTGTGACTTGGATAAGTATTCCAGAAAGATAGTAATTGGAGAGTGCCTTATGAAATTAAAGAAAATTCATTTGGAAGATTTCGAGGAAAAAGTCTTTCAGGAAAAGTTGAGGGCACCGATAGAGGTGTGTATTTCTAACAACTGATTTAATATTTATAAAATCTTATAACTGTTTACATTTGGATTTTGCGAAACAGAAGAATATCAATGTTGATTTTTAATAGGGAACCTGACTTTGGATAGTTACTTTAAAGTACATGTACTCGGGCATTGGAAAATAAATTTATTGGTCATTTTGTGGAATATGTTGAAAAAAGTAATGAAGAACTAGTAAAAAATTAACCCCTGATTTTCTTCAGTAATGCTTACGAGACTGCTTTGTTTGGAGCAATTTTTGTCGAGTAGATAACAGTGATACAGATAGAATTGAACAGAGGTTTAACTAGCTGCAGAACCGTAGCTCTCTGCTTGAGAGGCAGAGATCTGCTTTATCTGTCCGAATTTTCTCAAGCAGAGAGCTATAGTTCTGCAGCTAAGGTGTAACAACATGCTGTCATTTAGTAAGATCAACTTATTGTAAAATATAAATACATGTACACTGTAGTAATAAATTTAGCAGTAAAAATAAACTACACGTTCAAACTCAGTCCTGTACAAGGTTTTGAGTGTGTCTTATAGGTCTTTTCTTAAAATTTTATTGTTCGTAGTTTTATCAACGAAGAAGAAATAAAGACCATCCTTATTTTGACTTGAATAAGTCTGCTTTGTTAGAAGAAGTAATGGACGCAAATGCAAATGATGTATTACGTGATTTATGCGTGATTATCATTATTGTTATGCAAAACATCGTGTTGAGTAATGATTCAAGCTATGGCTTAGGTCGATAAAACTAACGAATACACATTTTTAACGCCACAGCTGCGGTATGTAATAAATGATGTATGGATTTTTTGCAGTTTAATACAGTAGTCCATGTATCAGACACTAGTACATTTATATGCTACAACACAATACTTCAGTAATACAACAAATTATCTTTAGCCGAAGTCTTTTGTTACACTCCAATTATATTTTGAAAGCAGCAAAACAATATTAAATTTTCACTGTATATCAGAAAGGACGGCACGACTGATATAACGTACTAATTCTAATAAAATAAGAGTTTTGGGGATGAATGGTTATATGTTGTTAGAAACAGATAGATCATCTTAAATTCAAAACTAGGTAAATAAAAGTACTTTCTTGGCTCCGGGTCATATTTTTTATATTATTTATACAATATATGCACCATTGAATTTAAATGAGTTTTTCATCGAAGTTGGCATTTTGTAGGAGGAATCAGGAGAAATATCAATCGGACTGAATTATCTTCCCACGGCAGAAAAACTTTATATCAACGTGGTCAAAATGAAAATCTATAAGACACCAAATAGACCTCAGAATGTACTCGGTACGTATCTAGAAAATGAAAAAAATAGGCTTCAGAATGTACTCGGTACGTGTCTATCTAGAAAATGAAAAACTAGGCTTCAGAATGTACTCGGTTCGTATCTACCTAGAAAATGAAAAACTAGGCTTCAGAATGTACTCGGTAAGTATCCGGTAATTTGGCATAAAGTGAAAACAAAGTTGTGTGTTGAAGCATTGACCCTTCTTAGTCTGAATATAAGTATTTCATAATTATTGTAATAATTGTTACGTTTTCTTTCACATTCGATGCTTGTTTTACATTGTACATGTATGGTAGGTTAAATTCAAAAATTTGTTTGGTTTTAATTTCTTTTTACTCGGTCATTGATTGGTTTGTAGTTTCATACTGTAAATCGTGTATTTCCAACCAGTCAGTAATTAAATAAAATCAACGATTTTAAAGAAGAAATAGCTAACATTGATTTTTGTTAACAGACACCTATATCAAAGTTGTTCTTATGCATGATGGAAAACCACTTAAGAAAACCAGAACAGGAACTAAAACGGAGGAATCGAACCCTGAATTTGATGAAACCTTTCCGTTTGATGTGCCCACCCATGAGCTCGAGAAAGTCTATGTAGCAATCAGTGCGATTTCTTTAAACACGGAAAACTCGGAACAGAAACTTTTGGGTCGGATCTATATTGGTTTACCGTTTGGGGGTTCGGCACAGGAACACTGGGCAGAAATGATAAGATCGCCGAGAAATCAAGTCCAACATGTGCATAAACTTACTGAACAGTGACATTTTTAAAAATGAGTGAAGTCGTTAAATATCAGTATCTTTTAATCCTTCTCTTTCATATTCCGTCCTTTGAAATGTATTATGTATCTCCAGCAAAATTGTGCACTTCCAATGAGCTTTGTAAAAATGTCTGAAAATCAAGGTATGGAGAATTTTACAGTGGATACTGAGCATCAGAGCCCAGCCTATTACATAACGTAAGAAAATTAAAGCTGGTTGCTTTCTAGTATGGTTTTGTAGAAATGCATGAAACATTTTTAAAATACTTGTTCACGTGAAATCCAAAATCAGAATTAATTAAATCAATCTACAAAATTATATATTTTTTCCTAGTATAAAGTGCAAACTTTCGATCACTTAAGTAGGAATTTACAGAGTGGGTGTACTAACAAATATGCCACAGACTAGCAAGCTTTCCCTACAATTTATATTTTATACAGAGCTCGTTTGTTCAATAATCCTTATTTCAGTTTATTTTGATAAATATATTACTTCATTCCCATATAAAATGTTACAAGAATGTGTGTATTCTTGGGAAAACTTTATGTGGAATAAGCGTTAATTTTACATTTTTTTGAGTTTTGGGGTTGCAGGGATGCACAAATGTATGTATGTGTTCAAACGTTAGCTTATTGGAAATTCAGTTGTAATTTATTGTACAGTTTATGTTTACACTGGGTTTGATTTAAGCAAAAAAGACATTGTGCGATGCTTGATACGAGATAATAAATAAAAAGTTAAAATCACATTACCTTGTTTTACTTAAATTATGTAGCGAAAGTAGAGGAGATGGCAAAATGATATCTGGCCTTTATAGGTTCAAAAAATAACTTGAAGAAAGTACATGTATGTAAGCTTGTATCTATGTGAGATGTGTCTGGTTAAGATGGCCCCTACCTGCAAATTCCGACAAGGTTACAATTTTTTTATTACAACACACAAAGACAAGAAACGCTTTTATCTTCTGCATTTAGTTCTAAGCATGCTGTTTGGTATATTTGAAGTTCAAATTCATCAAAATTTTGAAAGAATTTCATGACTAACATGTTGCAAGAGTGTTTCTCGTATTATAAAAGTGTGCTTAAATACTTCTTTTATCTGAACACTATCAAAACTACAAATCTCGGGTGTGTTTCATATGGTACTTTCATGAACTAAAATTTATCCTTAATATTTAAGAACAGTGGGAACTCTGTATTGTATTTTTGAAAGAGATTAAACCTATAATTAAGAGAAGTCGGAATAGAAATGTAAAAAAGCAAAATCAACTCACCAGCATTGGCTTTTCATATTCAGTGATGTGTGCAGTGTTAGCAAATCAAACACACCCACATGTAGGGGGAAAAAAACAAAAACAATATCAGTGATGATAAAAATTGTAAACAAATCAGCAATGCAACTGTACTTATGCCCCTTTAAACCGGAAACTTTTTAAGAAAAATCCAAACAGAAAGTTATCCTAGAGGCAGAACAGCATATTTCTGCATGTTTACTTGCTCAACGTAGAAAGTTGGCATCACAAAAGACTAAGCTAATTTTGAATGTAAAATAAAAAATCTTCAGGTAAACATTTATCTGCATAATTCATCCTTAGGCGATGGAAGCTTAACGTATATTTGGTTACAATGTACAGCTTGCAGCAAAATATATCTGAAAATTCTCTAAAATACAGAATTCATAATTGCATTGTATTTTGTGATTTTCCCTTCAATTCTAAGCTTAGTCTGAGATCCCCATGGGTTTTGAAAACCCCTGCAATGACTCCCATATTGCATTGTTTCTAAAAGTTAACATTGAATAGGGATAGAAAACGGACAATGCCATCCCATTAGCATTTTGAACAAATATTTCAACAACATAATTGCTTTAACATATTTTTCACAATGATTTTAAATGGTTAATAATCAATTAGACATCGTTCACTTGCAGTGTTATTTCATAGTTCTTCAAGAATGGATGCTAGAATTAATCTACTAATTACAGGATTAGTGTTTCTATTTCTGATTATCAAAGTCTTATTAGGTAAGTTGATGATTGCTTAGATTTTTTTTGCAGGAGGTGGAAAATTAGCCGCATTAGCCATTTTTGCCATTAATAAAATATATGTGAAAAATGAACGTTTTCATTCAATGTCTCTAAAGCAATTTACAAGAAAGTTGACTACATTAATAAATTTCAATAATGTTGTTTGACGGACAAAAAATCAAAACTTACAATATTGAATGGATTTATCAACTGTACAACTCACCTATGTACAAAGGTATTTGGAACGGATCCTGCAAAACCAAGAAGACGGCTCAGAGATTAAATTTAACCTCAAATAAACTTGGCTCGAAGCTTTGAGTAGAGAAAATTGAAGACTGTAGAAATGAAGAATGTGCATTTAAAAGGGGAAAATGTAACTAATGAAAAAAAAAGAAGAAAAAATACATTTCTTTATAAATATTCTCTTATGCAGAATAAAAAGATAAACAGAAAAGTATCCCTACATCATGTAGATTCGTCTTTTTAAAAGGTGATAATGAGGTTCAAATTTTGATATTGTGAAAATCAAATTTTACTAGTTCTGGCTCTAAAACTTGATTGAGTATTGACTATTGAACAAGATTTATGGTAGATATTCTTTTTGTCAAAGTTAATGTGTATACAAGTTCATTTATAAGAATATCGGCCCTTGATCTCCGTATTGAATGCATTTCTCCTTATCTATGGTTCCATTATTTCAAATGTCAATGAAATTGAAAGATTGGTTTCCATTTAGACCATCAGTCCTTGACAAAAAGAAAATGCTTATTCTTTACATCCTACATCGTTGAAGACATGACATTGTCTTAATTTTCTAGGTGCCACTATAAATTCAGGTTTTCCAAATGTAGGAACTCGTTTTATACTATCCATGGTTCGTCAGCCACAAACTGCTGGGAAAGAGAGTTGCAAACTTCTCTTGTACAATCCTAGTCCAACGAATATTACCAAAATAACAGTACACCACAGCCTGAAAGTCAAAATAAACAACGATCACTGGACTGTTGGGCCTTTAATGACGTCATGGATTGATATTCCTGACGAGTACGGCTTGAACAAGACAATACAAATGTCTAACAAAGGATTTGAGATAATGTCCACGATACCTATCAAACTGAAAATGATTAATATCGGATCTTTCTCAGGGGATTCTACTATGGTATTCCCCTATACAGAACTCGGAAGCCAGTACTTTGTTATCACTCCATGTAATGCTAGCAGCACGTACAGTCAGGTGCAGATTGTTTCCACCAATATAAGAACAATGGTGCTTGTAACCCTTCCTGGAGACCGTGCCACGGCCATTCTGACACTGTACGGTAAAGTTTATCACGGCGGAGAAAAAATAAATGTTACCTTAGGAAAATACACTGTGCTCCATTTGACGAGTATGCATTCTCTTACTGGAGCTCTGATATCATCCACTGATATTGTATCCGTATTTACCGGATGTGACTATGACTTTCTAGACTATACTGGACAAACAAACACCGAGAACTTCTATCATAAAGTTGAGCACGCTGTCGACCGTACCCGCTTAGGCCGATCCTTCGACTTCGTGGCTGTTGAGACCTGTCGAGCAACTATTGTGGCCTCCCAAGCTCAAACCACCCTAACGGTCTCAAAGGAAACACATTGCCAGGAATATATTCTCGTTAACGAAGGAGACAAATTGGAAATAGCCTTGACAATAGGAATTGCCGTCGTGTTCAGTTCGAATCACCCCATTCTTGTTGCAGTTGACAGTGGGAGGGATTTTTTTCTTTACTTAACTCCCTGGGAACAACAGATATCAAAGACTACCTTCTGTGTAGACCATCAAAGCAAAGTCGAATTCTCTATGTCCATTGATCAGGGCTGCGGGCTGGACTTTTCGGCTAATGGAAATAACATGGAATTAAACAAAGACATTTTAAAAGTGAAATGTTATGATGATAATACCAAATGTTTCTTCACATCCCGTGAATATATAAACTCACTTGGATGTTTTACAGTCGAAAATTCATGTGGATTCTTTCATGGGGGTGTTATAATAACAGCAACACAATCGAAAACTACAATGGAAGAAAGTTTGGGTAACGCTATGACAATTGTTTCACCAGTGAGTCTTATTTTTCTCAATTTTACTCCAGCTGTTGCATAAAGAAATATCATAATGTCATTCAAATTCAGTTCTTAATCAGAGGAAAACTATATTTCAAATGATACGATGCAAATTTACCGATTATCATATCACATAAATGAGGAAAAATAGTTTCGTCGACAACATGAATTGCAAATCTTTAAGAAATTGCAATTCAGCAAAATAGCTTTTAATGAACTGATTAATTAATTACCTGGCGTAACCTTTCTACTTACAGTCCTGCTCCAGTGGTGCTGTCCCTTGTTTGGATGTCGTGGTATCTTGTGTATCCACCACAACATCAGTTACCACTATTTCTAGTAAGTAGCTTTCGTTTAAAGAAGATGGGTGAAAAAGGCGTGCAGAATGCCTATAGCTTTAGATATTAAAAAAATTCATATTCAATTTGTGAATTAAGTATTTAAAATAAAGTTCTCATTATTGAAATTTATAAAATTATGATCAACAAAACCTTTTTGAGAAAAAAAAAGATCTCGGAAAAAAGTATTCTTTTATTCAAAAAAATAAATAGTATTCGTGGGATTCGAACCCCTAACAATAAAAATCCGGAGTATCATATTGCTTTGAGACAAACACGCTAACCACTACGCTACACAGCTACTGATGAATAGTGTCATTTGAATCATGTTTGTGATATGACCCTTGGCTTAGTGGACTTCAAGTATTTCTCGGAAAGATGCGAATGCTTTGTCATAAAAGTGCACTTTTAAGGTATAGTGGGTCTTTGCTCCATGTTTTTGTAAACCAAAAAATTTATATTTTTATGCAAACTTTTAGGATTAACTTTCAAAACAATGAAGCGAAGACCCACTCATATCGAAAATGTTTGTTAAAGTTTGAGAAAATGATCCTTTTTGTCCTCTTTAGTGTGTGTATGCTATTTCGTAGGCAAATAATTTCAGTCTTTGTGAGATTTTTGTAAATTGTAGAGATTTTACATAAAATATACTTTAATGTGAGATGAAATATCAAAGAAAATTTTGATATAATTTAGATTTTATTTTTCACTTCTTGTTTGTCGCACTATAGGCACTTCGCCCGCCTTGTTCACCCATCTTCTTTCTCCAGAATTGGAGTATATAAATCAAATGTCCTTACCAGTTGTGGATATATAGTCCAAGATATAAGGGATAAAAATGTTTGGTTCTTGGAAAACTGATTCCCATAGAATAGCAGCTATTTTTAACCTCATGATATACATTCCATAACAAATAAATATTCGTTAGATTCAAAATAAACTCGGGAAAATTATACTGCATTTCTTTAATATGTGTACATATATACACATGTTCTGTATTTTACTGTTTTATAAACAGCACTTCCTAAACTCATTTTTAAAAGCTATTTTTTAAATTCCTTTCAAATTGATAAAATACAAAACCAAACCTTTCTTAGGTAATGTGTGCGAGAACGGAGGCTCCATGTACACCCCTAATGTAGGCAATACACTCTGTTACTGGATAACCGCGCTAAGCACTTCTGCAACGGACGCGAAACAGAAATGCAAAGATTCAAATGGGATGTTGGCTCTGATCCCGGACCCGGGAGTGAACAATTTTATTGCGGAACTTATTACAGCC